TTCCCCCTTCCGTAGTCCTTACCCCATTTAAAGAAGCACTGGCTTTGGAAATTTCGACTCGGTTGGTGAAATCAGATTGCAGGTTCTGATACTGATTTATCAAGTTTGTAATAAGGGTGCTGATCAGATTGGCACAGTTTGCTTCAGAAAACACCTGACCTTGAACCTGAAAAAGATGATTGATTAAAAAAAAAAAAGCTCCAAAAGACTAATACTCTGAAAACAAAACCATTAATTAATTGTAAGTAACAGACTGAGTTTCCAACTTAGGACATACCTTTAGAAGAAAATGTGTCATGAATGTGTAGACAATGTTGTTGTTTAGGAAAGTTCTTTCATCCATTAGAATGCATTTTATATATTCTGCAAAAACAGGATCTTCACACAAAAGCTTGATGCAGTTTTTTGACATGGCAGACTAAAGTGGGGAGAAGACACACTGGTTGAGCACTGAAATAACTGCATATCCTCAATACACTGTTTATGATGTACATCCAAAGTCATTTTAAATCCTACTGGAAAAGTCACTTTTGTCTACTAAGCTTTCAGTCAGCAACTGTCCTTCCAATAAATTGAAGTATTACTAAATTGGACTAAATGGCTGAATGTTAGAAGAAGAGACTTGTAAGAAGTTTGAATGGCAAAATTGAACAGCTGTTTCAATAGAAATGCAGCTTTATTTATCTAGCATTATGAAAGTGAATAAGGACTGGCCAAGTCAGAATGACAAATAGGATGTTTTCACAGGAACAATGCTAAATCACAGGTAGAAAAAAGACATTTTAAGAATTAAATTTATTCTCTAAAGTGCATTAAAACTCTCACTGTGTAATCTCACTAACAATAGTAACCGTCTGTTAAATACCCTTCCCCCATAAATACCTGCAAAAGTAAACAACAAACCTCTTTTCCTCGTTACCTCACAGAATTAGTGGGTCCCAATATATGGAAATTTTACTAAAATTTGGCTTTCCTGTTTTCAAATGGTCATGGCTCTTAAACACAAGTAGTATGTCTTTAAGTAGGTACAGCCCCTAGATTATTTACATGTGTGTTTTAATAAGATCATTACGGAAAACAAAAGGATAAAATTTAGATAACATGTACATGCATATGTATATACTTATATGTTTTAGTAGACTAAGCACCGTGGTAAGTGAACTGCTCAAGGTCACCCAAGAAATTAAGGAGTCAAGAGGGACTAGCACCCAGGTCTTCAGATCCCTGGTATCAGGAAAATCTGTCTTATTCTACTGGTCAGTCTGCCTGCTGCCTGTGTTTCTTGCACAGCACAGCTGCTCCTATAGGACTGGCAGGAGCCCTGGAAGCCTTAGATGGTTTAGCTTTAAGTACTGGGGGGTGATGAATTCTGTGGGAAAAAAGCCAAGTAAAGGAAGTAGTACAGTGCAGAAGCAGATAAAGCAACAGGGAAGCAATAGGCGGTGGCAGAGTACAGAAACCAAAAGCAGCAACGACTCAAACCAGGAAGAATGAAAAAAGCAATAGTGGCAGAGGGGAAAAGCAGAGATCTCCAATTTACTGGACAGAACTCTCAGCTCAAAAGTCAGTCATTTTCTGAATGTCTACCATGTACTAAGTCGTGTGATTAAAGCATACTAGCCTATCAAAGATTCCTACTATAGGAAACAGAATGACACTTCAGGGAATAGAGATGACTCTTCAAGTCTCTACACTTGAGTTCATGGTTTGGGGCAAGGAGATAATCAACTATTACAGTACCATGTGACACATCCATTATGAGAATATACAGAGCACTACCTCGTGGGCAGGAGGCTGGGCCAGACTCAAAGTATTCCAGATACTAAATGTGGGTAAAGGTTTATGTCAAAGGAATTAATAAACTCATCTCATCCTCTGAGAATGGGCAGATGCAATCAGGCAATAAAAACAGTTTTTTTAGGGTCTAAGGACGGGGGGATACCTGATGTAAGGAATGGGCTAATAAACCTTAGGACCAGTATGATTTCTCCTCTCTCCACCATTCTCTCTCCACAATTTAACAAGCATTACTTAGGTGCCTATCACTTTAAGGGGCTGGCTCTTAAGATTCTAAGGTAGTGTGTACCGTGTTTCCTGTTCTCAATGAGACTCAATAAAAAATAAGTGTATCAGACTCTTGAAAAAATTCCCTGAGGTAATAGATCAGCAAAAGGTAAAGGACAGACTACTGAAATGGTTTCTGCTAGAGCTTCTGGAACAGTGGAGGGGAGAAGAAACAGATGGGGGAGGTGAGGGAGAGCCAGAAGTGGCATATGCCTTCTTGCCCTAATAGCTCCCTGTTGTAGACTTTTACCACAACTGTTTACACTGACCTACACATGAGGGATTTAATTATAAACAGCTTATTTGAAATATCCTTTGTCAAATAAATCTACAGAAGTGAAAAAAAAAACCTCAAAGGCCAACTAGATGCCCATTGCTTAATAGCTGTTACTTCCATTTAATAATATTTAAGCTATCAAGAGTCTGTAACATCCCCAATTTCCAGCAAGTCTTTAACCCATTGTTCCTAGAACTACTGACTACATGGTCAGATGAGATGAAAGACCAAGGCATCTAAAACTCATTCTCTTTACCTGAGTCTGGCATAGCTCAGTCCAAAGTTTGGGGAACAGTGCAAGATGAAGTGGCAAACCTTCGTAGGCAACTAGGACACCTAATATTTGAAAAGAAATCAGAATAGGTTATAATTATAAATATACTACTAAGGTATATTAAACTCTGCAGGTACAACATTATAGAGCTATTTCCAATCATAACTGTATCTTCTGTTTTAGAAATATATAAAGTACTTTAAGGGGAAGAATTCATTATGATGTTTTAACCAGTGAAATAATTTAGAGTGTAGCATACTTTGACTTTATTCATATCCCATACCTCATTCCCAGAAGGACCTGAGGCAACTTAAACTGATCCTGCTTTCTGAGTATTAGAACTTCACCTGAGACAATTTAACAAAGGTTACTTGGATTAAGGTACCACTCTGCATATTAGATAATTTACATGGAATAGCTAGACTGCAGTGGGACGGGGGAGCAAGGTCAAACAGGATGTGAAGAATTAGAACAGAGAGCGTTATTTCCTTTTTTATCTTGTTTCTCCTAAAACAGGGAGAATTACCTTTACAGTAGATTTATGTAAACTCTGCTCTGGGTCTAACAGCTTCTAGCCTTGTCCCCAGGATCTTCTGGATGGACCATTCTTAGCTGTATGTCAGTATCCTATTTGGAATATCTAGGGTTTTAATTTTTCCTCTTCTTCATTAATCCAGATGTCACGCATATCTTTTAAGAAATTTGTTCCCCTACCCTCTGCCCTCCTACATCTCCCAAAGCACAGAAGCTGTAATGCCACAGTCAGTAAAGTAAGTTTCCCATCCTCCAGCACTCCCACCTCCGGGAAAGTATAACCATGGAGAAGACAAATATAATACAAGTTATCCTCCTCCAGTTAAGAAAAAAAATTATCAGTAACACCTGAAGTTGGCGAACCTTTTCTGTAAAAGGGCCAAATAATAAATACACGCTTCCCTGGCTTAAGAAACCTTTCATAAACCAAAACAACATAAAGCAAAAAAGCAATAACCATTTTCTGTAAAAGCAAAAATCCTCTTTGGATTTCTTTTGGTTAGCAAAAACAGGTACTAATGTAGGTCTTTCATAAAAGCGAAGTGGCATAAAGTGAACTTTCAAAAATCAGGGGATACCTGTATTTTAGTCTTCGCAGCCTGTTCTGTCTACTGCAGGTGCTCAGCTCTGCAGAAGCAGTATGAAAGCAGCCACAGACAACACTCAATGAATGGGTGTGGCTGTCTTTCAATAAAACTTTCAGAAAACTGAAATTAGAAACTCTTGCAATTTTCATGTATAAAATCTTTAGAATAATCTTAAAAAAACCCATTAAAAATATAAAACCCTTCTTAGCTTGCACGTAGCTCAATGGTTATACAAAACCAGGCAGCATGCAGGCCATTGTTTTCCAGGCCCTGTGTCAGACCATGGACTTAGGAAACCTCAGGAAGGGAAATGACATCAGTCACTCAATTTAGTCATCCAAGGATGCCCAAACTCCCTTTCGTGGGAAAGCCTACTGCTTTATTTTCTTGTCAAGATTAAGCCCTTTGTCAAGAACCAAAGAAACTATCATCTTTCCCCTTGATCCTAACCTAATGTGGTTGGGGTTGGAGGCATTTACCCATTGTAACATCTCCATACACATAAGCAAACAAGAGTATGTCACCAACACTGTTGGCTACAAGGAAGAGAGTTTCTATGCTTCCATGTCTCTGAATCATAATTACCATAAAGTAGAGCAGGAGGTGGCATTTCGGCCCATAGCCCATGAGTCTGCCAACCCTAAACTAGAGGCTGCCCTGGCATAAACCCTCTCACGTGAGAGCAGGCTTTATACTACAATTTAAGTTTCTCTAGTCTTTAGTCTTTTTCTCCCAATTATTCCTCAAAGTAGAACAATCTTTATTCCTACTCTCCACAACTACTGAAAAGCTAGCACTATCACAACAAACAAAAACACAAGGAGGCCTTCCACAATCTAAGATTGTTTCTAAGTGATACAATTCAAGTATCTTTATTTTACAAGTGAAGAAGGAAATAAACATATACTGACATCTATTGTGCTAGGTATGCCAGATAATCACATTTAATTTTCTCATCAACTTTGGGAGGCAGTATTTTATCCTCATTCACCACCCCGCCCCCTTTTGGATGAGGAAGTCAGGTTCAGAGAGATCTGACCACCTTCATGCCAAAAGCCAGTGAGTGACACAGTTGTGCCTACCCCAGATTTATCTGATGCCAAAGCCCATAATCTATTAAATAATCAGTGTTTCCCCAAACTTCAGGCATCCCTGTATCTTTTCATGACTGCTTTCCTACCTGTCTGTCACTTGTACACTGTCTACTTGGTACTGTTCTTTAGATTCACTCAGAAAGCCTAATACTGCCATTAGCCTTATCTTCAGCAATTTAACATCCAGGAAAATCATGGATTTGCTGTGCGAGTTACGTAATTTTGTAATACAGATCCATACATATTTATTAATATAAAAATTATTTTCCCTGGACCGTCTTGTACACTAGACTCTGGACAACACTGTGCCACCCATGGTGAGCTAAAGACATCTCTTTCACAGTCATATTTCCTATCTGAGCTGCATGTCCTCTGGAAGGCAGGCCATCCCTTAAGAGCAAGAGTTATCAGTTTCTTTCCAGCATGTCCGCAAAGCACTGAGGATACAGCACCATCTTGGCTCTGTGACTTAAAGTAGAGGCCAGTCCTACTCCATACACTCCTCCTCCAACACTTTCTGGGATGTCTCACTTACTGCATGCAAGGTACAGGGAGACGCAATCATGAGTGTTCTCAGGCACACTTCCAAGCCTTGTCTCAGTAAACAAGATGGGCAGGCCTCAAGCATACTGGCTCCTGTTATCACTTATCTTTCTTCGTCCTGTGACTTCAGGCACCCTTAATAGGGTCCTTAACCCCACCTCATTCCCACCCATGAAGGAACTAATATACAATGATGAAAAGCTGCCCCAAACATATCTTTACTCATTAACAGCACCTTACTCTACAGAAGCTGCTGGGTGTGTTATTAAGAGAAAAACTTAAAAAACTGCTTTTGGAGATAAAATGGTAATTCAGATGATTGCTGTGAGGATGAAATATTTCATACATATATTTACTAGTTAGGGTTTCTCCTATCTGAATTGTGTTACGATTCTCTGTCTAGCTTTCTACAGGAATATTTATCCCATCCAAGCACTACCCATGGGAAGTGGGAGCTTCATCTACCGTATGAAAGCCCTTGGCTAATGCTCCACTTCAAGACTGAATCAAGATATCTTAAGAATATCACATTTGACTCTTCTAATTCCCCTATTTCTGACTTCAAGCCCACTAAGCAACCTACTGCTGTTTATTTGGCTTTCTGTCTAGGTTACTGGAAAAAATCTGCTGGCCCTACTATGTAATATTTAGATCCCTGTGCCAGTTCTTTATAAATTAACAAACTGGTAACCAACCTCTGAATTATGTCTATTAAATATAATTACTATGTATTAGCCTAGGATAAATGGATTTGCCCTTGTGGATGGGTAAAAGCTGGCTTCTGATCCGCACTGGATGGATGGCACTTGTCTGAAGTATATTCATCCTAAGCAGCTTTCTGGGAAACAGCTAACCAGTTTTTTCTCCAATCAATACCACCTTGATATCACAAAAAGGTGAAGCATGAACCAGAGCTGTGCTTTTTATAATTTGAATTTTTAATGTGTTTACTTCTATCAACTATACTAATTTTTTAGTTCTAGAGACTTTGGATTTTCTAGGTACATCATCATGCTACTTGCAAAAAAACTTTTACTTATTAAGGCAGTAGTATAACTTTCAAAAAAATGTTTTTGATATAATAATGTCAAATAATAGCAGTGATTGTTTTGTCTCTAAAAATTAAAATTATTTAAACGTGAAATCTAGGGATTTGTTAAATTTTACTTGAACATCTTGTTAACTTTCCATGTGCACTATGGTACCTAAAAAAATCGGTATGATTAAGAGTTTGCAGTGCCAGTTTTCTAATAGTTTGAAAAATTGATTTTTCTCCCAATATAAAACCAATGCATGATCATTACAAGTAATTTGAATCTTACAGATATTTAACCTAGAAAATAAAAGCATCTCATAATTTTATCCTTATACAGTTAAGAGAATAATCCTGGGGGTTGGGGGGAGAGGGTAAAGTGCATGCTTAGCATGCATGAGGTCCTGGGTTCAATCCCCAGTATTTCCTTTAAAATAGATAAGTAAACCTAATCCCCTCTGTCCCCCAAACAAATAAACAAAAAGAATTGTTGAAAAACAAAAATTGTTGAAAAACAAAAATCATTGTTTTTCTTTCCCCTGGTCATATCCTATATATTTTCCAATTTGCTTTTTTCATGTGATCCAAGTCAATTCTACCTTTTTTATTTTAAAGACTATATAATACAAATGATTAATGTTTTATATAACTAAGCTTCTACTGATGGACATTTGGGTTGTTTCCAGTTTTACCAAACAGAAACTAAGTGAAAATTAAAATCTTATGTATGTTATTGTAACTTTTATGAGTTTAGATTTAGGGTCAATTCCTAGATCTGGTATTGCTGGGTCAAAGGGCACAGACAATTTAAAGTGACACTGCCAAATTGTCTCTCCAAACTGACTCCATCATTAAGATCTCCTCTTTCCTCAAAACTGTGTAAGTATGCATAATCACCTACATTTTATCTCATAGTTGAGAAAAAGGAGAAATTATTGTTGTTTGCTTTATTAGTTAAGGACGGGCAACTTCTCATATGGTTACCAAACATTTACTCTGTGCATGCATGTGTGTTTGTGAACTGCCTTGTTCATGTCCTTTGCTGTTCTTGACCATCTTACTGAATCCTAAAAACTTTTTGTACTAGCCATTTACCTGCTAAGAATCCAATTATTTTCCCCATTAGCTGTATTTATTATAATTCAATTATGGCATTTTCAACATACAGTATTTTCAATTTTTATGTAGTCAAAATATTCAATTTCTTATGTTGTTTCTGGGTTTTGTGTTCTGCTTAATTAACATGGTCCTTCAAATCCTCAAGGTGGTATCCATATGATCTGTTTGTTCTTTAATAGTTCTAGGATTTTATTTTTCACAATTATTCCTCCTGGGATATATTTTGGTCTAAGGAGCAAAGATATTAAAGTCTTGCCCCTCCTCTCCCAGACAGCTAACCAATGCAATGATTGCAATACTACCCATTCTTTACTAATCTGATATGTCATCTTTATTATCTACTTAATCTTCATGTATCCTTATGTTTGTTTTGGGGCTCTTTTTCCCACTGTTCTGCCTATGTGTTTTCATATCTGCATTGCATAATTGAATTAATCGTTCAGAGTTTACAGCCACTCCCTAGGTATCCAGGTGGATTGGTTCCAGGAGCCCCAGAGGGTGTTCAAGATTTATATAAAATGAATGAATAATATATAATGAATACAGTGGAAGGTTCAATTCACAGTTAGTCCTCTGAGGATCTGAAGGACTTTTACATAAGAAAGGGGAGAAAATAAACCCATATTTGCTATTTTTATGCAAATAAATAAGTGTTCAAAAATGAATAAAATTGGTGGGGGACAGGTTTGTGAGCAATATGGTGATGTATATCTTTTCGATACTGTTCTGAACTGTGAACTATTTATTACATACCAAAAAATTTTTTTAATTACTGTATCTTTATTATTTTAGAAATCAATAGTGCCAGTACCCTATTATTCTTTTTCAGAAGTTTTCTGGCTAAACTCTTTTCTAACAGTGTATCTGAGAGATCACACTCTTATTTTACATGGCAGTCAGCAGCTCTGTTCACCTTCCCTGAATTCTCTCCTCACTTTTTCTGTCTCCTCTAACTCTATGCCTGACTGTCCTCACTTCAAAAATATTCCTACCTTCCCTTTAACTTTAGGACCTCCAACTCTATCCCCTATAATTCTAATCTATAATTATTATATAGTATCTTTTTATCCCCCTAACAAATCTTAAAATCTGCTCAGTTACCCATATAAAGAATTAGCACAAAGACTTTTCCTCAAATCTGGAAATGACTTACAATCCAGTATAGGTCTTAAGATAATCCCACCTATCATCACAATATTCTGGCCCTTGGATCACCTATAGCTTTAAGACTAAAATGATTAAGGATATAACCAATTTAAACTCACCCTTTCCCCTCCTTGTTGCCAAATAAAATTTCTTGAAGAAATCATACAAATTAAAACTCCCTATCAACTCTCTACTTCCCATTATAGTTGATAATGTGGGCTTTGCTTTCTCAGGGACTTTCCTAGTGGCCTCTCCCTGGATATAGTCATTTCAGCTAGAAGAGGGAGTTAACTTCTAACACTGGGACAAAATCTCTCCATTTGTAAGAGGCATAAGGAAGGCATTGTTTTTAGGTCTTTGTTTTACTTCACAGTCAAAATAACGTCCAATTTTCTGCATTAACTAAGATATAACCATGAAAATTTTCTTTTCCTGCTCAATTTTTAAGGTTTTGGTTTATGTTTAGAGCGGTCCTACGCAATACAGTAGCCACCAGCCACTTCTGACTATTTAAAATTAATTTGGTTAAAATAAAAATTCAGTTCTTAATCACAGTTCAAGTTCTTAACACTCACACGTGGCTAGTGTCTATCATACTGTGGCTGGTGATGCAGTTGGAGAATATGTCCATCCTCGTAGGTAGTTCTATAGAATAGTGCTTATGTAGAGAACTAAACATAGCATCCACATCATGGGTATAAGAGTGATAAGAGTACAAAATATTATGAAAGTTGATTCAGCTAATGTGGATGGCTAAGTGTGTGTCCTTTCTTTCCCTCCACCCTCCCTCCTGTTGAATTTCCCTGAAACTGTGTCTTTGTGTTGATGAGGAAGGCTATTCCACACAGACTAGAACATTCACTACTTGGTCAGAGCTGTTCAAGTAGATAAAATAGCTCCTCACATAATTTTTACTATAAATCATAGGAACACAGTTACTAAGAACTTTTCTTAAGATCAGCATCTTTGTAAGTCTTCCTCCTTATCTGGGAGCAAGGCTGTGTTACTAGAACTCTTGGGTATTTCCCCACACTTGATCATTGCCACTAGGTTTTAGCTTTTTATCAAGTGCCACAACTCAGTTACATAATCATGAAATAGTCAATCTAAACATATCCTCACCCACTCCCTCCCCAATCCTCAGCCACATATATTTAAACCAGCTAATGATAACAGGTGGAAGGAACAACCTTTCAAATCTGAAGATGTTCTAATCACTTACCAATAAGATGGTTTTTCTGAAGAAGAATTATCCCTGACAGCTCTTACCACTTCATCTTGGATAATGAAACCTAAGGTATGTTCACATCTTTTGCCCTACCTATAATGGATCAAAACTCTTTTCATGGGAAGGAAGAGATTGTGATTGAGAAGGAGCACAAGGGGACTTCCAGGGTACAATAATACTCTATTTTTTGACCTGGGTAGAGGTTCCACGAGTACTTCACTTTCCACGCTCTGAAACAAAACTACGGAACACTGGCAAGGATCCTGGGTCATCCCTAAAGATGGAAAGACTCACGGGCTCCAGAGAGCCTGAGAACTTTAGAGGCCCTGAGATAGGGGATATCCAGAGGGCTATGTATCTTCCAAAGACTAATCAGCTGGAAAAAGTCACCCAAAGGGAGCAGTCCTCTAACAGCTTTCAGGCACATCCTTAGACAGACATTACACAAAAATAAATAAATAAATCAAGGCTTCCCCCAACGTCATAATTCACTGATTTTTTTTTCTATTTCTTATGTCTTTCTTTTCAAACTTCCCTTCTTCTCACTCACCTCTCTATTTTATGAGACTTACCTCCTAATTTACTCATATATGCACCTCTGCTTCACCCTGGCAAGTTCACTCAGCTTGCTCTTGGGTGCTGCCAGCTTCAAAGCATGGCTGGCACGACTGATCTCATCTTACCCTCCACATCAGAGCTAGAGAAGTCCATCTCTAAGCCTCCCTCCCTAAGCAGAGCAGTTTTTGTTTTTTGTTTTAAATTCTGCTGGGCAGATGGAGGAGGACTTGGGCTTCTATGTACAAAAGTCATCAGCCCTACTCCACCCTCCTTTAGAAGCCAGCTGAAACTCTAGGCAGAACTATTCAATGGAAACCAGTAAGTTGGTGTTTTCTTAATAAAAATTAAAATGTTCCCAAGAATGAGTAGTATTTTTAAACATTCACTTTAAAAAAGAAAAAAAGGATTGTCTCATTTTTTTCTCCCCTTCCTGAATGGCTAGGGGCTTAAAATAATTCAGTGGAATTTACTGCTCATCTTTTATACTTACTCAGCTTAACTAATGTTTCAGTAAATTTTTCACAGTTGATTGCAACTCGGCATAATAGATGGATGAATTGATGATAAGAAAAGAAGTAGTCTAGCAGCATACGATCATAAACGTCATCTTTGCCCTGAAGGTTAAAGATGATAAAATGGTTGCACTTAAATTGTATAATAAATTAAAGAGCATATTTTGTGCAAATGTAATAAGTTTAACTAAAAAGTTGATTAAGTATTTAAATTCTATAAGAATCTAGTTTTAAATTCCAAGTTTCTAGTAATGTTAATCAAGATCTTAATTGTCACAAGTTTATTTTCAGTGTGCAAAGGCTATCAATTAAAATTACCCCTGATTTCTATATACTTTAATAAAGTAAATTTACTGTAGGATTTTAAAATGTGACACTTTAGCTCTACAGACATATCATCAAGAAGAGTGAATTAAATTTGATTTTTGAAATAGATTCCAAATTATTTCTGTAATGGTTACTACATTGCTATTATTTTTAATATTTATCTTATAAGAACTTCTTAAATATATTTAAGATTCAAAGATAGTGGGCAATAGAGAATGTGAATAAAATGAGGTGAAGACAGATAAAGTGGAAACATTTTTTAGAGAGGCATTGGAACTAAGATAAATTATCCTGTGTCAATGTACCCTCTCTATAATTTAGAATTAGCATTATTTTAGAGGAAGTATTGGAGGACAAGAATTAGGCTACAAATGATGAAGAAACCTATCAATCAGTGATAAAGTTAGGCTTAGGTCAAAGGAAAATAGTTAAAGGGCAGTAAAAGAAGTCATTGATTATATGGCAAAATATAAACAATAGTAAGACCTAACTTGACTTTTCAGGTTTATATATATGACCCAGTTATAATCTAGCCTAGTGACAAATACTAATGAGACTTTCTGTTAGGGTATTTTTTGAGGGAGGGGGGAAACTTACTACTTGTGCTTATTGTTGATTTTGCAAATATTCAACCAACATTTTAGAGCACTAAAAAGTCCAAATGAGTCTAATCTTAGGATCCACAAAATGATCATTTAAGTCTAATATACTCATAACTGCCAGAGGGGAAATTTCAAATTACTGTGTACTAGAGAAAGATGGTTTTCCTGGCATCCCAACATACCTTACTGGTTTCCACCATTGTGGGCAAGAGGCACATATTGAGTTCAGGGCGCGGAGGCCGAATATTGCTTTTCCCTCCTATTAGCTTGATATTTTCTCGACAAGGGAAATAAGGTCCAAGAGACACTAAGACATTAAAAGTGTACAATAAGAATAAATGGAAAAAATAAAACTCCATCTCAGTGTGCAGAAAGATTAAATGCCAACCATGTTCAAGTACTGTGCTAGATGAATACATACTTGGTATATTACTGTGATGGTAAGTACAATGGTTGTGTTGTAGAAATGGAACCAGAGTATGAAGAAAGTCATGGGGACTCAAAAGCACAAGTTCCTTGAGGACATCTGAAAATACAAACACAATTTGGGTATTAAAAAATTGGAGCATGTTACCTGCTACTTACAAACTCACAAATCCTGTTCGGGTGACTGGCTGCAGTGTGGCAGCTAAAAAGTTATTTAGAGTATAAAACTGTTTTAGTAAGGTCTTAACACTGGGAGAAATTCTGCCTGATACACAACCAAATTTGGATCAGCAGAATTACTAATGACAACAGGGCATCATTTAGAAACCAAAGTTTAAAACTATTTATTAAGAGAAAGCATCACGGAGAAGTGCACTAAAGGAAGTGTTTAATGCACACTGTTATATATCTTCACAAAGTCAACCAAAGCAGCTTAGAAATTTAAGGTTCAAAATTCTTTGGATCTGAGAGAGAATCCTTAATCTACTTTCAATGTTTCAAATGCTGGCTGGACTGATTCTCATCCTCTCACCACACAGGAGGAAAGCTCATGATGACAGGATATTGGCAGAGTTTCTGGCAATTAGAGGTTACTGCTTGATGCCCTTTACTTTTTGATGGAGAAGTACAGACTAGGAATTCCACAGAACATCAGACCAACATATGCCAAGAATGACTGCTTATACATGACAGCCAGTTATGTCATTTTAAGAAACTGTAAATAGTTATTGTCTCTAGTGATCATTTAAATGGATTCCAAGGGAGTAAAAAATTCAATATGAATTTAAAATGAGGGGTTCCTTTAACAGACATAAATTATCATTTTATTATAAATATATACAATCAATATAAAGGTGAAATACTCAGGAGTCTAAGAATAGCTACTAAGAAGTATTTTTAAGCAAAAGAACTCAGTGAAATAAGCACTCCAACCTTTTATAGTATCAATTCTACTTCGTAAACATCTGCATGATGCTACCTCATTTATATAGGATCAGAAGATATCAGAAGTGCAAGAGATCAAGAGATAACCTAAGGTCAACGAGCCCAAATACATAAGTGACCTGCCTATGATCACATAGTTAATTATTGGTATGTTAAGAAACAGAACTCGATTTTCTTAGGATCTGCTGGCCAGTGTTTGAGTCACACATTAAAAAGTACAAACGTGTTCCAAACCCTACAGAATTAACATCACATCTCACACACACACAATCCCACAAAAATGTTCTTCCACTAGGTTTTTACCCAGGTTTATTTTCCAAGTAACTTACCTATACAGGCATTTCTAAGTTCTGGAGGGCTATAGGAATTAAGAAGAGTTAACAGTTTATGGGCAAATTCAATTCGCTCCTGCCACTGGATTAATGCTTGTTTCACATCTGCAAATACAAAAGCATACATAAACATGCCACTTGAAGTCAAACTTCCTCTATTATAAGCTACAGAATGCTAACACTAAGAAAATCAAATTAATTACATAAACACTTTGCTAAAAGCTAAGTGATTATTTTCATGAAATGACTACAGATGTTAAATCTGCTAGATTTCTTAAAGATGAGTATGTTCCATTTTCTAGGAATTTATATGCACTTCAGAGTTCATACTATCTTACAGGACACAGAAAGTTATGTTTTATAGTTATTTCTCTCAAAAGTAAATGATCTAATTTAAGCCATGAAGTTTTCAGCCAGAAAAGCTTCACAAATACTCAAATACTCATGTTATCCCTATGCTTGGAAGTATTTTTCAATCTCCTAAATCTTGACACTCAAAGCATGCGTTCCTGTTTTTCAGGCAGGCATAAAGAAAATAAACAAGAACATTCCAGCTTTATATCAGGAGGTCATGATAATAAACGTTTTTCAGATGGTTAGCTAACATCAGCCCTATTTTCTGTACATAAACTATAAAAAACAAATTCTTTGAAGTATTTGACTTAAAAGCCTTATTTCACTCTTTAACTGTTAAACTAACAAAAATAAGAAGTAGGATTAACCAAACCTTTTCTCTGAAGATATGGGCGTGTAGACTTCAAAACTGAAAGGAATATTGACAGAAGTTCTACTAAGTCTCCAGTCACGTGGCAAGCTGTGGCTTCATGATACATCATGTGCAGTGTGTTGAAAGACTACAGGTGATTTAAAAAAATGGAAAACTTCATTTCACTTTTACTTTGAGCCACACAGTGGTATTGCTCATCCTCTGACAGATGTTTTCAGACTCAGACTATATGTGTGCATATGTGCACAAAGCAAATGTATTTGCTTTCTACCTACAAGTCAAATCCCCCTGTTCAGCTCTTTTAAAATATAAGTCCTCATTTTCAGAGCTCTGATATTTTGTGTATGCATTTTAGTTTGAAGGAATAATTTGTTTAGTCAGGTTTTTTTTTTTTTTTTTGGTTACTATCTGCTCTAAGATTGCAAGCCTTAGAGGTTACAAAGCAGCAAGCAACAACAGAAAGACTGCACAGAATAGGTGACTGCTTTAACTAATTTTTCAGGGCTTCTGAAGAAAGTCAGTGGGGAAACAGCTGTCAGCCACGCTCAAGACAGTAGGTCTGGAAGAGGTAAAAGAGCTCCTAAAGGTAGGAATTCCTTTAACCATACTGGCTTGTTCAATCTTTTGATTCCTTTAATTGTATTAGCTTAACAAACCCCTTAGCTTTTTTCCTATTTTATTTTACACCACTGCATCTTCTTTCTAATCCTTCAAATCAGTTCCCCATAGCCTATATACTAGTCACAGTTCACAGCTCAAAATCTGTAGCCTACAATCTGTGGCAGCACATAATCTAAACAATGTACTTGTGTGGCATTTAACTTGTAAGCTGTGAGGACAGGAACCATGTCTGTTTTGCCCACTGCTGTATCCTCAGTGCCTAGCAAAACGCCTAGTAGTACACAGTAGACATTCAAACATTTGTTGAATGAAGAAGTGAAATTCTCACTACTCCTCTTCACATATCTATGTTTTAGCCAAACAGAAATACTTGGCATTTGTTGAATACAACTAGCACTTTCTCGCCTTTGTGCTGATTAAGTCATTTATCTAAATGCTTTCCCACTTAATCTTTGCAAGTCCAAATTCTTCAAAGTACAGTTTTATACATGTTGTACTCCTATTCTATTAATACCATTAACTGAAAAAAACTACCCTACCTCTTAATTCTCATCGTGCCCTTGACATGTATTCTTTCATCTTGTTTCATCCTATTTAAACTAAAGGTTATGTTGCACCTCTGTGGACTTAAAATCATCTCATAGATAATTACAGGAAGAATGAACAGCTGATTTTAACCACCCCAGTCTCAACTTGCTTCCTCTGATGATGGAACTCCGTCAAATAAGCCAGCTCTTGAGAAATTATGTATGTCCGCAGTTAAATCATACGTATTTTGTCTGTTTCTATTCTTACAAATAAAATGAATAAAGCTAGTCTATTTCAAGTGGTTGTTCTAAATACAAAATAAGGGGGAAAGTATGTATTACTATGGAAAAAGAAAACAGCACTCTAAAAACTGACCTAATTATTCTTGCAATATAAATTAGCATTTACTAATCTGCATATTTAAAATCCAGATACCTGTAAAACAGTCTACCATAAACTCTAAATATTCACAATACAAGAAGTTTTGCTGAGAACACTGAATTGAAATAAATCTATAGTTAAATGCAATAAAATATTTACCTCAGTCATCAGGATCAACCCTCGATTAAATACAACAAGAAGTCTGTCTTCATCAGATTCTAATAGTATTCTGAAGGCACTAGAAAAATACACAGAATTCAGTTTGAGAACTCTGAATCAGAATACAACACATAGATGGTTAAAAAAAAAAGTAAATTGTTATTTAGGCTCTCTACTTTCCTACCTACAGAAAAGAGACAGCTACATCTATTTCTTGGTAAGATAATAGAAGACTATATTAAATAAGAAACCCTCAATGCAATGTAGAGAAAAGTTACATCTACTGGTATCATACTAGTCAACTCTTAATTATTCACAATGGTGAAGGAGAGGTGTCATGAGAATATCCTTAAAGTTTTAGTAAAAACAATGTTTCTTTTTATAAGGGGTTTACTGCCTACGTTATGCTATGTTCCAGATCATAATAAAATACACTTGGTATTACCAAAGCACTCATCAGCTGGTTATTGGGAAGAGCAACATGGGGGGGGGCATATGTTGGCCTTAAAAATAATTTACATAGTCACCCAAAAGTAGTTGCATTACTCTTCCTAAGAGACTTTATTTCATTATTGGTACTGGAAAAATACATTATATGGTGCTGTTACATAGTACAACTGGAAGTCCTTCTACTTTGATGAGATGTTTTCTTTTTTAAAAAAAAAGTAACTAGGAAAGTTCTAAATCTTCTTTTGAAGATAAGCCTTAAGTAGTACATGTTGGGAAAACAATGTATTCAAAATTAATGCCAAAACTTAAAAGAGTTCCTTTAAAGAGGCCTGGCTAAAGCACAGTTAATTTCATTCTGTGTACTAATAAAGATTCTAATTTAAAACTTTTCTGAAGAAGATTATCTGAAATAACCTTATTTTAGACTGATTAGCTTAAGAAACTAACTACAGTGTTCAAAAAGTATTGCCAAAAAATGTGTGCCTAACAAAGGATATCAGTCCCAAGTCTTAGATATAATATACAGAAAAGAAATTAACCTGGACTTTATTTCTATAGTTAAAGGGAATTAAGTGTAACTTATAGCAGTTCCTTTATAGCCATTCAATAACTTTCGTAGCTCTGAGCAATTAATTATAAAGATCATGTTTTGTTATTACGGCCAATTCCTCCAGTTAAAAAAGATAAGTAGATCTGGCCTAAGTAAAATGAAAAAACTATTAACAGTGAAACTCATCCAAAGATGGAGGAAGCTGTTTCTGGAGGCCTCTAGAACTGGACTGTCTAAGCTTAAGATAGGATGAATTGCCACAGAGAGGAGGATTCAAGATATAGTGGAAGACTCTACATTAAGGTTCCTTCCAACACTAAAAATTCCATGATTCTGTTAAAACATAACCCAAATAATCCAAAACCAAACCCAAAAAAAAGCTATTCAAAAGTGGCTAATACTGTTAAAATGGCCATACTATCCAAAGCAGTCAACAGATTTAATGTGATCCCTATCAAATTACCCAGGACATTTTTCACAGATTAGAACTAATAATTTTAAAATTTAAATGGAATCACAAAAGATCCCAAATTGCCAAAGCAATACTGAAGAAAAAGAACAAAGCTGGAGGCATAACCCTCCCAGACTTCAGACAACACTACAAAGCTACAGTAATCAAAACAGCACGATACTGGCACAAAAACAGAATACAGAGCCCAGAAATAAACCTATACACCTATAGTCAATTAATCTTCAACAAAAGAGGCAAGAATATACAATGGAGAAAAGATAGTCTCTTCAAGTGGTGCTGGGAAAAAGCGAGACAGTCGCATGTGAATCAATGAAGTTAGAACTCTTCCTGACACCGTACACAAAAATAAACTCAAAATGCCTTAAAGACTTAAACATAAGTCAAGACATCATAAATCTCCTAGAAGAGAACAAAAGCAAAATATTCTGACATAAATTGTAGCAATGTTTTCTTAGGTCTGTCTCACAAGGAAATAGAAATAAAAGCAAAAATAAACAAACGGGACCTAATTAAACTTATAAGCTTTTGCACAGCAAAGGAAACCACAAACAAAAAGACAACCCATGGACTGGGAGAAAATATCTGCAAACGATGCAACTAACAAGGGTTAATTTCCAGAATATACAAGCAGCTCACACAACTCAATAACAAACAAACAAACAAACAAACAAACAAACAACCCAATCAAAAAATGGGCAGAAGATCTAAACTGACTGACATTTCTCCAAAGACGACGTACAGGTGGCCAACAGGCATATGAAAAGACGCTCAATAGTGCTAATTATCAGAGAAATGCAAATCAAAACTACAATGAGGTGTTACCTCATACTGGTCATAATGGCCATCATCAAAAAGTCCACAAACGATAAATGCTGGAAAGGGTGTGGAGAAAAGGGAACCCTCCTACACTGTTGGTGGGAATGTAATTTGGTGCAGCCACTGTGGAAAACAGTATGGAGATTCCTTAAAGAACTAAAATCAGAGTTCCTGTATGATACAGCAATCTCACCTCTGGACATATATCCAGAGAGAACTCTAATTCAAAAAGACACATGCACCCCAATGTTCATAGCAGTACTATTTACAATAGCCAAGAAGAGGAAATAACCTAAATGTCCAAATGACTGGATAAAGAAAGTGTGGTGTGTACACACACACACA